CCCTGTGTCCCCTCCCTGGTGGCCCAGGGGTGATGGTGGCCCCGTGTCCCCCCTGTGTCCCCTCCCTGGTGGCCCAGGGGTGATGGTGGTCCCGTGTCCCCCCTGTGTCCCCTCTCTGGTGGCCCAGGGGTGATGGTGGCTGTGTCTGCCCTCGGGCAGTGCCACCCGTGTCCCCTCCCTGGTGGCTGAGGGGTGACAGTGGCCACGTGTGTCCCCCCCTGGCAGTGCCACCCGTGTTCCCTCCTTGGTGGCTGAGGGGTGACAGTGGCCACGTGTCCCCCCCAGCAATGCCACGTGTCCCTGTCCCAGTGGCCAAGGGGTGATGGTGGCCCCGTGTCCCCCCTGTGTCCCCTCTCTGGTGGCTGAGGGGTGACAGTGGACACATTTCCCCCCCAACAACACCACCCATGTCCCTGTCCTGGTGGCTCGGGGGGTGACAGTGCCCATGTCTCTGCCATGTCCCCCCCGTGGCCAGGAGGTGACAGTGCCCTGTGTCCCCACCATGGCTGGAAGTGACAGTGCCCATGTCCCCCCAGTGCCCCCTCAATGTCCCCCAACTGGAGGCACTGGGAGATGACAGTGTCCCCAGTGTCCCCCCCACGGCCAGGGGTCACAGTGCCCCGTGTCCCCTCAGTGTTCCCCACATGTTCCCCCCATGGCCAAGGGGTGACAGTGCCCGTGTCCCCTCAGTGTCCCCTCCCTGGTGGCCGGGTGTGATGGTGCCTGTGTCCCCCTGTGGACAGGGGTGATGGTGCCCGTGTCCTCCAGTGTCCCCACTATGGCCAGGAGGTGACATTGCCCTTGTCCCTGCCATGTCTGGGGGTGACAGTGCCCATGTCCCCACCATGTCCGGGGTGACAGTGCCCATGTCCCCGCCGTGCTGTGGGTTCAGGTGGCCATGTCCCCCGATGTCCCCTCCGTGGCCAGGGGGTGAGGGTGCCCGTGTCCCCATCATGTCTGGGGGTGACAGTGCCCATGTCCCCACCATGCCGTGGGTTAAGGTGCCCATGTCCCCTGATGTCCCCTCCATGGCCAGGAGGTGACACTGCCCTTGTCCCTGCCATGTCCGGGGTGACAGTGCCCGTGTCCTCCAGTGTCCCCACCATGTCCAGGGTGACAGTGCCCATGTCCCCACCATGTCCAGGGTGACAGTGCCCATGTCCCCACCATGCCGTGGGTTAAGGTGCCCGTGTCCCCTGATGTCCCCT